AAAAAAAAAAAAAAAAAAAAACAGACAAAAAGAAAAATAAAAAAAAACTTGATTTAACTAGAGGAAGCAATATTCTAAATCCTATTTTCTCTATTCATTTCCATTATAATTTGAAAGGTGAGTTTCCATGAACAAAAATGTTAGCTCCAAAGCTGTATGTCTTTATCAATTCTCAAAGTAAACATTATTTTTCCCAAGAAATCACATAAGACAAACAAGCTCTATGATAACCGATGTCAATTCACTAAAGGCTTGTAGGTGGACTCATCATAACACTGTCCTTTCCCTGACATAACAAAAACTCAATGTTCAATCCCACGTGCCACCGCACTAAAACTATTAGATAAGACAACTGTGTAACAGCTGTGGGTACCATTAACTACAGGTATAAAGCAGCACACTGTCAGATGAAAGCCTATTTAACTTACTATCAATGCAACATCATTAATTTCCAATACCATTAACCAACAGCAAACAAGAATTTATTTGGCTCTCTAGCTTTTTAAAGCCAAAGTGTGATCACAAAATGAAAAACAAATAACAGCCTTCGAAGCTTGATATATGACTTAAAAAAGAGAGAAGAAAAAACAACAACAAAGAAATGGGCTGTGGATCAGCTCGGGAGAGCACTTCCAATGCATGCACCCTTGGCTTCAATGTCCAGCCTGTAAAATATAATTCAATCAAATTTTAAATCTCTTAACTAAAGGGCAAAAACCAATCATACCAATAAGAATACTTTTAATCCAATTATTAAAGTTTCTCAGGTAAAAAATGCGACTCTGACTGCGCTTCTCCAGCCCCACTTCCTGAAGCTCGTTATAGTGGGCAGCGACGGCAGAACTGTGACCTTCCTCCAGCTTCTGAAATGGAAAGGACAAAAGTCAAGGGTTAGAGCATGATCTAGAAAGTAAGCAAAGGCCCCAGACCACCTGACTATGGAAGGAGCAAACCCAACTGAAGTGCATTTCACAGAGCGATGGCTGGCCCCACAGTAATACAGCAGTTACTACTGTACCTAAGAGGTATCTCCAATTCTTTATGGAAAAGTCTCCCAGCTTAAGGTCTTCATCGTGATCTTCACCTATATCATTTAAGGCTACATGTTTTAAGGAGACTACTCTATTTCCAGAGTTTTGATTTATTCAACAATAAATTACAGTCAATGGATAAACTTCTTAAAAGGGAGTAAGAGAAATAAGCTACTACATTTTAATATCAGTAGGAAATTATTGTTATGATTACATAATGCATATGAGTTAGAATTTAGGAGGTTACACTCAATATCAGTGACTTTTATTACACATTACATCTAAAGCCAACAATTTTCTATCTGCATTTAGTAAAACCTTAGGCACTCTATAAAAATTCCATAGTAGGTAAAGGCTTCCAGCACCTGCTATCTCCCTTTTCAAAGGACCTAATTCTTTGCTTACTTTATGTATCAAATTTAAGAGTACATTTTTACTAGAAAAAAAAAAATCTGCCAGTCTAAGTCTTAAAACCCATGTTTAACACCTTAGGTCACCTTTTTACAAGGACACCACTGGTAAAAGCCTGGCCTGCTACTTTCTTCTTCAGGCCTGATAACAAATGTTACTAATTTGTAAAGTAGTCTTTCTCGCCAATCCCAGACTCAGCCTCAGAATCCTTTACAATATGGTAAATGTTTGTTACCACTTGCTCTATATCAGCCTTTTACATCAACTTAACCAAAATTATTCTAAATAACTATGTAAACCATACTAGAAGCTGCAAACAATTATAGTGTAGCACATTAATAATGGAGAGTAAAGCTGGGCACAATTTTGACACATTACTTTAAGTGATAATCAGGCAACACTTTGAAACACCTGATTAAAAAAAAGGACAACCAGGGGGCTGGAGAGATGGCTCAGTGGTTAAGAGAACTGGCTGCTCTTCTAGAGGGCCCAGGTTCAAGTCCCAACACCCACATGGCAGTTCACAACTGTCTGTAACTCCGTTCTAGAGATCCAAAACCCTCACAAAGACATACATTGAGGCAAAACACCAATGCACATAAAATAATCTTTAAAAAAGAGAGGGAAAAAAAGGACAAAGGGTAAATCAAGTGGGCCACATACTGCCATCTTTAAAAAAAAATTAATAAAAAGCAAACTACAGAAACTACCTTTCAAGGTTCTGGACAAATAGGCGTTCCAAAATAACATGAAAATGTTAACAGCACAACTTTCACCTATTGTGCCTTAAGATACATATGTATCCCCAAGACTGTTCCATACTTCTGGTTAGCACACTGAATTACAAATACACAAAAAGAAAAAATACACAAAGCATACTTTCCGCTTTTCTGGAGCATCCTCAGACTGTAGTTTTCTCTTTCTCTGGGTGACTTCTCCAGAGGAAGGCTCATCTTTGGAAACATCACCCCCCTCCAGTTTCCTTTTCTTTGAAGCACTTCCATTATCACCAGTGCACTCTTCCTCTAAGATGATTTCAACATCAAGTTTTCTTTTCTTGGCTGGAGAATCCTCCACGTAACTTGAATTTTCCTCTGCATGGTCATCTTCAAACTCTTTCCTTGCTCTTGGTTTATCTGCCTGCTGGCACGTAGGAGTCTTTTCAGAAAGCCTCGGCTCAGGTGCAGCATTGGACTCATTAACACTGGGAGGGGATGCTGTTTCAGAATCTATGGATACTTTTGCCTTGTCAAAAGACATCTTTTCATGTTTGTCTGCTTTTGCAGAACTTTCCATTTCTAGTTACTTGAACTGACAGCAAAAACTCATGAATCAACACTGTAATGGCAAGAAAAGAAGGTGTTAAGATCTAAGGGGGCTGGAGAGATGGCTCAGTGGTTAAGAGCACCAACTGCTCTTCTGGAGGACCCAGGTTCAATTCCCAGCACCTACACGGCAGCTGTAACTCCAAGATCTGACACCCTCACCCTCATACATACAGACAAAACAAATAAGTAAAAATAAAATAATTTTTTTTTTAAAAAAAAGCTGGGCGGTGGTGGCTCAAGCCTTTAATTCCAGCACTTGGGAGGCAGAGGCAGGTGGATCTCTGTGAGTTCGAGACCAGCCTGATCTACAAAGTTAGTTCCAGGAAAGGCACAAAGCTATACAGAGAAACCCTGTCTCGAAAAACCAAAAAGATCTAAAAACAATTTCAGTCATGCAGGCATGTCTAACCTATGGTCCAGGACCTCTTATGGCCATTTGTTACAGCTGTGAATATGGCTTGACACAAAAATGATAAACTATTCAGTGCAAATCTCAAGCATGAACTTTGTAGATGACATTGTTTCATAATGTCAAAAGGTTGTGCACATCAGGACTACAAAAAATGCTTACATATGAAGTTATAAACATACAGTAGTATTACAAGAACATGGGGACTAGTTTGGAGGAAGTAGGTCACTTGAAAGATACCACTGAAAGTCATACCCATCCTTGACAACTTGCTCTTTGCCTCCTGTCCATCACTATAAAGTGAAGCTCCTTGGTCACACACTACTGTTGCCATGGTATTTTGCCCAAGTGCAAGAAGCCAAACCACCCCAAACTGAAACCTCAAATAATACAAGAGAAAGTAATCCTGCTTCCCTTAAATCGCTTTCTCTGGCATCTGGTCACAACAATGCAAAAGTAACTAAGACTGGTACCAAAGAAGTAGGGTTGCTACATTGTGACTACCCGACAATGTGGTGCAGACACCTTTGAAAGAATTTGAAACAATATGTGTATATGGGCCTAATATGTTGTAACACAGTAATTTGATCAAACTTCAAATTTCTGCTCTTGATTCTCACTGTAAAGCTGATAAGAAGTAGTTACTGATAACCATGCCATAAGCTGAACACGGTGGTATGTGCCTTTACTCTCAGCACTTGGCTGGCAAAGATCAGAGGATCTCTGTGAGTTGGAGCCAAATCTATCGAGTTCCAGGCCAGTTAGGGCTACACAGTAAGCCCCATCTCAAAAAGCAAAAACAACAAAAAAGTATGCAACAGCTTGAATGTTGACATTTCTTCCACTAGATTAATTAGTTTTTAAAGTTAGCCTGGAACAAAGTTCAACAGCAGGGACAAATCTTTACAAACTCTTTACCAGAACATAGTGTGAATGGCCTGTAGTCCAATTCCCCAAAGCATCCTTATTCCGAGACCTCTTAAGCCTGGCTCACTGTATTCCTGCTGGCATTCTAATCTTTTGGGTTCCCAGCAGAATTACCATGTAATTTTCTTTTTATCTTACAGTGTCTCACAGCTAAGGGCCTGCCCTGAGTGAGACTGTGAACTTTGACTTCTGAACAGTACTGGAACTGCTAACTGTGGGGACTGAGAGTGGGGACTGAGTGAGAGTGGGCTACGAGCATTTGCATTATCAAACAGTCATGGAACTCTGAGGCTAGAGTACAGTGTTACTGTTTGTGAAATTTCCCCCCCAGGCTTATGTGCTGAATGCTTGGTTGGTCTTCAGCTAGCAGCACTGTTTGGGGAGGTTCTAGAGACTTTAGGGAGGTAACGTCTGTTTGGAGAATGCATGTAAATTATACCTAGTTGTCAGTAATTACTTGTTGACTATCATGAGGTAAATTGTCTCCTCCTTTACACACTCTCACCAGCATAATGGCCTGCCTTTCCACAGGCCCCAAATCATCAAAATCAAGTAGTATGGCCTGAAATCTCCAAAATTATGAGCTAAAATAAATCTTTCCTTTCTCTAAGTTGCTCGATTAGGTATTCTGACTATGCAAAAATAATACAGAAAAGTCAAGACTCTTGAAATCCTTACTTAATAATGAACTCTGTAATCCTACAGGAAGTAAAGAGTGGTGATAGCTTTAGAACACCTTGAAGACTCAGCCTTCAGTGTACCAACCATTAAATCGCTTTCAAGTATGTTCTAAGGCATTTGTGTAAAATGGGAGGAAGAAAGTCATCTATTACAAAGGAATTGTTAATGGTCGACTTATTCACTCAATTTATTTGCCAACCTACTACTACAAAGAAGTGCAGTGTGAACTCTAATCACTAAATTCACAACTTAAATACTTTCACTAAAATATCAAGCTGTGTAACTGAAAGAAATGGAAAAGGGAAATCAAAAATCAAAACAATTAGAGACCATGAGATTTCAGGTTCTAAAAGCAATGAAGACATGCAGTGGTTTGAATGAGAATAGCCCCCACAGGTTCATATATTTGAATACTTGATCTCGGTGCTCCAGTTTGGGAAGGACCAGGTGTGGCCTTGGTAGAGGTCATGTCACCATGAGTGGGCTTTGTAGTTTCAAAAGTCAGACCATTCCCAGATTGCACTCTGCCTGTGCTTCTGAATCAAGATGTAAACTCTTAGCTATTGTTCCAGAACTATGCCTGCCTGCCTGCACCATGTCCCTGGCATGATGGTCATGGACTCTAACCCTCTGAAACTTTAAGCCCCAAATAAACTCTTCTAAAAGACTGCCTTGGTCACAATGTCTGTCTTATCACAGCAATAGAAAAGTAACTAAGAGGTAAAATAGTAAAAACAAGTCATGGGAAACTGGGAAGAATTTCAGGAGACAATAGTTTTCACTAACTTTGAGTATTGACTCAAAGTAACAAAATACCAAAATATGTTACAGAGGAACAACTGAATCAGAGAAGAAACAAAATCAACTAGGAAAATAAGTTACAGAGTAACTACGATAAATCAGTATCAAGGAAAACTGCTCATCCAATTGTCAAAACTCTTTACCATTTAATGCCTAAAAGAAACTTCCTTTTACAATCATGAAACCACAGTGGCTACACCTTTGATCCCAGCACTTGGGAGGCAGAGGCAGACAGATCTCTGTGAGTTCGAGGCCAGCCTGGTCTACAAAGTGAGTTCCAAGATAGGCTCAAAAAAAAAAAAAAAAAATTACAATCATGAAACCATGCAAAATATTATTGCTAGCTGTAATTGCTGCCTAAAATTAGTATTGGTATTTATTCAGACAGTCTATACTTCCACAGATTAGCTGTCATAAAAGCATTCAAGACTATAAAATGGTTATGAATGTCTAGAATTATATGTCAAACAACTCAATTACAGAGCGCTTTACTTAGTATACAAGATAGCAATAGCTCTTACCTCAAAGAAGGATAGTAGATAGTTTATTCTGGAGCCAAATTTGTGTGACAATGGCTAAGGGACACAGATTTAGGTTACTCAAATTCCATGTTCTAACATGCTAACAGTTCCAGTAAGTTTTATAGTAACAAAAGAAAGGAAATCTTAAGTCCAGACACTTCTCAAATACATTGGCAGAAATATCAGGTAGGGAGGTCACCGAAGAGCAAGGAAATCTCAGCTATAAGACCTAAATGCTATCTGACAGAATCCTTGGCCTTTTAGTTGGTCAGAACCAGAGGTCTGTTTATACATTCCTAAGGATTTACCTAATGGTCACATTAGGTCACATACAGAGCAGAATGGCTAATAAGGAGGCTAAAAATGGGCCAAGATAAGTAGGATCTGGACTTGGAACATTCCATCTTATCAGAATCACCGAAGTTCTAAAAAAATCACCAAGATCCTAAAACATCAGTCAACAGCTTTGTAGTCACAGCTTCTTTCCAGGAATTCTTGTTTACCAGAGCATTCTCTAGGCTCTGGGTTTGATGCTTAGCTTTGCATCAATAATGATTATAATAAAACTATCAACAATGATAATGAAAATACTTGAGAGATGTCCCGATAGAACGGAGAAGGGAATTTATGGTAAAAAGTAGACTTGACATGAAGATGGGTATTTCGACCTGGCTGCAATCACACTGTAACTTGCCTCACAGAAATCAAGATATTCTAGAGATACCAGGGTCTCATGATCTATTAAATTGTTGAAACAATGAACACCGAGAGAGAGGAGAGATGGGAGAGAAAGAGAGACTGTGAATGAATATTTCCCCTAGGAATCTTAGGCTGAGAGGAAAGAAAGAAGCAAGCCAACGTGAGTAAGAACATCTTACAGGAATGGACTGAAGCCCAGAGAAAGATGCAAAATGGTAGGCAGGACCACACCTTGGCCAGACTACATTTTTCTTGCCTCCTATTTAAACCTCATCCTCATTTCAGGACCCACAAAGATGGAAGGGTTATCAGACGGATATCTCGGTGCCACTTCCCAAGGGTTGGTCACACAGAGTGAATCTCCTTTTTCTGCTTTTCATTATTAACCTGGCTCTGTCCATTGGTTTACTGAGGGGGCGGAACCGTGATTGTTGGGTTGTGCACTGGATATGACCCTCCATAAGTTCGCCCCTTTAGGTAAGGCCCCTAAAGTAAATCATTTTTTCTTGGTCATCCCAGTTTCTGCCTGCTAGCTAATGGTCAAGCATGACCTCGACGGACCACCTTGACTGTCTAGAGCAGGGTACAAGACAATAAAACAGAAGGAGGGGGGAAGCGTGAAACAGAAGTGGGGGGGCGGCAGGCCGTTCTCCAACTAAATTCATCTGTTCCCCTCACCGGGCCCAGCTGCAACTCAGCCTCTGGTTCAGGTTCCTACGGCACTGCTCCAGACAGAACAAACCCTCTTTGGCTCCCAACACCCCACCCGGCCCATCGCAGCCTCATCACAGGCCCTCGGCCCGAGCAGAAGCGCTGGAGCTTCTCCTCCGGGGACTAGCGTGCTCTGGAGGAGCAACAGCGCCCACCGTCTCAAGACCCAGCAGTGCTCACACCGCTTCCGGCTACGGGCACAATAAACCCCGTGCAGCCGAGACCAGAGGCGAAAGGGGAGCGAGCCCAGCCAGGCAGGCGTCCGGGCGTCCGGCCTGACTCGGCTCTCGGCGCGCAAGCCTCAAGACAAAGAAGCAAGGCAAGGCCAGAACGCCGAACGCCACACTCACCCACACAGTCCTCCACGATTCTGTTTGCGGAAACGCCGGCCGGCGCCACGCGTGGCCTTGTTGCGTCACGTCCGGGGAGTGCGCCCGGGATTAAGGAACTCGAGGGTCAGGCGCGGGGCGTGGCTTCCTCCGCGCCGGAACTACGAGTCCCAGGGTTCCTCGCGCGGCGGCGTGCCTGCGGCCCTGCGAGCGGGCGCGGAGGGTCGGAGCGCGTTGCTGGTGGGCGCGGCTGGCCTGGGCGCTGGAGGCCGAGCGTTGGCCCGAGTCCTGCGACACGGCCCCCTGCCCCACGCTCGGCCGGGTCGCCTTGCCGAGGCAGCTTTCTTCCGGCCCGTGCGGCGGGATTCCGTGGAGAGCCCCCCAACACACACATCCCGAGAGGTAGCCTGGGGCCATGTTCGCAAGTGGGGCGTCGGGAGGGGGGGCCCAGCGGGCACCTTCACGGCGGGCGCGTGACTGACGGCCGCGGGGGCGGTCGGGGGCGGCCTCCCTCCTGCAGGCGGGAGTCGTCAGCACTCCCGACCCCCACGGCCGGTGGCAGTCGAAAGAGGTCACCCCTGTCCTAGGTCATTCCGGAGTCCTGGCCGACCTCGCGTCTCCTGGTGCCCTTCTACACCTTCTCGCGTTATGATCCCTTAACGCCCTGCTCTTCCGTCCGGAGTAGTTGGGGTGTCCTTTCAAAAACAACCCACAGCTTCACCTTTGGGACGGACGAGCCATTTCTTATCGCCTGGTTTGTAGTCGTGCCGTGCGCTCCAGGGAGGCATACCGTTACAGGCTTTCACCTCAAGATGAGGGTCTACTTGGGCAGTAAGACAGTTTACACACCAGCACGTTAACGTGCTTCGCCGCCATCCCTCCATCACGAGTTGTGGAAAAGCCACAATCAGATTTCCAATGTATTCTGAGTTACTCCTCAGCAAATCTGATCCGTCCAAAGCAGCTTTGAACGTGTGTTTTGCTCGTCTACCTGTTTGTAGGCAATTTTATTAACATGGCCTTGGTGTAGAGTTTGTAGGATATAGCTCCCGCTTGCAATTTGTGGACATTAGCCCTTCTGAGGTTGTTGACTCTTTTATAAGCCTTGAACTAAACGGCTTACTTTTAACAACTGTGAGAAATCAATTTCAGATAACTGGGATTGTGTTTTATTGTGTGCCGTTATCCAGTTTAAGAGTTAACTTCCGTTCATGAATATTGACTAATGCAAAGGTCTTGTGGGACCTAGAGCCCCGAAGTGCTGTGTGCATACTGAAGCATTGGAGCTTATTGGATCCAGTGATTTTTATTTTGTTGTTTCTCCCACACACACCCCCATAATTGCTATTGTCATCTTAGAGAACATAATAAGCCTAATTTTGACTTTTAAAAAATTTCATTATGTAGCCCAGGATGGACTTAAACTCAAGATCCTGCTGTGTCAGGCCTCCCTTATGCAAGGATTACAGGCAGACCCCCAGCCACACATGTCTTACATTTTTCTCTTAATGGAATTAAAGCCTCTTAACTCCCTGTTTATAAGATTCCCACAATGAATTGATGTTATAAAGGAAATATTCAAACTTTACTCTTTGAGGGATTTGACTCATGTAAAATGACACAGAGAAAACATTCTTGAAAGTATTAAAGTAGGGAGGAACTGTATGCACCAGGTACAAGTGTTCTCACAGTTACCTTTGTCCTCATTACTGTCTGAGTGTGATCTGGCTTTCAGGAAATTGGGTTGAAATAATAGCTAATACTTTAGTATTTCCTACTGTTTCACACATTCCTTGCTCATTCTCTTGTGTAACCCAGTTAGGATTATCTTTGTTTTACAGATGAGGATTGAGTTTTGTTTGCCAGGGTTGGTCTAGTAAATGGTGGAACCAAGATTTGGACCCAGGACGTCTATGCTAGTAATCAAACAGGATCTCCTAGAAGGTCACACTCAGAACTGAAAGTTTACCAACACATAGATGTTTCAAAATTATTTTCACAATTCTTAACACTCCAGTAATCATGTTCAGAGAGAAAGAAACAGCTGGCTAAGGGTGTTCCTTTGCCAGATTATGAGCTCTGCTGAGACTGGAACCATCATGTTCCTTGGTGATTTAGCTCAGGTTCATTAAACAGCACCTGCTACATAGTACATACGTAATGGATAACTGAATCTCCAAGAAAAAAAAAATGTATCTTTTTAAAAATGTAACAGAATTTGCTTGAAACCATTTTATAAGAAAGCTAGAATATATCTCTCGGAGGTGAACTTTTAATGTGTGGTTTCTGTTTTTAAATTGAATGTAGTTTTTGAAACATATTGTTTCTAACATGTAGATAAGATGTTGGAGTTTCTTAAGAATGATCTTGTTCTGTGAGGACAGAAAGTGTAAAGAGTTTTGTTTAGTCTCTCTAAATAGTCACTACATAAAGTGACAGTTTTCCTGCTTCACTCTGTTTGCTGAGCTGAAAGCTGACATCTCTTCCAAGCAGGAAAAAAAAATATTTTAAAACAGGCTTTTTCTAGAGTTGAAAGGAATATTTAATTGAATCTATGTGTGATGAGTAATATATGTCAGCCCAGGCTGTAGTACCTAATATTTAATCATACACTAATCTCGGTGTTCGTTGTTACAGTGTTTTGAAGATACAGTTACCTGTTGACATTTAAGGTGATTATTGTCAATGACAACCTCTGTTTTAACTTAGATGTACTTATAAATGTTTCATGCTTGTGTCTAACTTTCCCATTGGTTTTATATTGCTGTGGATTTTGTATTGAGAGTGTTTCTGGTGGTGACTTTAAAAAATATGTTTATTCACCCTAATAGTTGTGCCAGAAACCCCATCTAAGGACTGAGGAATCTGGATGCAGACATCCACGGCTAGGCCCCAGGTGGATCGCTGGGAGTCTAATTAGTGAGAAAGAGGAGGGTTTATATGAGCGAGAATTGTTGAAACCAAGGTTGGATAAAGCACAGGGACAAATAACCAAACGAATGGAAACACATGAACTAT